CCCCAAAACCCCAAAACCCCAAAACCCCAAAACCCCGACCCATAAGTGTAAAATTGGTGTTGTGATTGTATATTAATTAATTTAGGAATAAATATGAATCAAGACGATCTTACGAGTGTAGCGTCTACCAATTTTACTGGGGCTAGGAGAGCTACGGTGATTGACCAAGCAGCAGTTGATGAAGGTATCAGGGCAGGAAATATTAACCTGGGTGACCAGAACTCTGGAATGATCACTGTTGGGTTTAGTCAGGATAATCAGGAAACAATTAATCGGCAAAGAGGTCTTAATAGGCAATATGATCTTGAGAGGCAAGCTAGGAGTGTTACTATTCCAACCTCAGATCTAGAAATTAAATCTCGATTGAGAGAACTAAGACAACCCATAACTTTGTTTGATGAAGGTGTTGTAGAAAGAGGAGAAAGATTGAAAAGAGCAATTGCCGCATTCATGAATGATGAAGGTAGAATGCCATCTTTTACAAAGCCAAATGAGCAAGCTGAGGTGGTAGCAAAGGATGAAGAGTTTTATTATGAAGGACCTCCAGAACTCAAACAAGCGCGTATAGAAATAGCTAAATATTCTATTCCTCTTTCTACTTTAAGATTAGATTTTACAAGAAAGCAGAGAATAATTCACGACAGACTCGATGATGAGTTCAAGTATGCAGATTATATCAACCAGTTCGGAACTTACGAAATGATGGCATCTCAATATGCTGATGAAAGATGAGTCTCCAGAGGAGATCTCTCTAAAGACAACAAACTCTTCGCCACTTCTGGCTGGTCAGGAGAGTCTAAGGTCTGGGGACTGCCTGAAGGTGAAGAGTACACATTTGATCTCTGCACTGAACTCAAAGGCCATAGAGACAGAGTCATTCACATCCGGTTCCATCCTCGCTCAACAGTTGATCTTGACCCTGATGGACCCAACCTTGCTACTGCTTCAGCTGACACGACAGTGAGGCTCTGGACTCTGAACCAAGAATATGAAAGCCAGAAGTCGATCATTTTCAGAGGACACGAAGACAGAGCAAACTATGTTGAGTTCCACCCGATGGGCACTTACATTGCTTCTTCGTCTCACGACGAAACCTGGAGACTCTGGGACATCGAAACTCAGAAAGAACTGAACTGCCAGGAAGGCCATGTCGCTGCAGTGTATCCACTTTCATTTCAGAGCGATGGAGCTTTGCTTGCAAGCGGAGACCTTAACGGAGTTGCTGCTCTGTGGGACCTCAGAGTTGGAAAGAACATCCAGAGTTTTGTTGCCCACCGAAGAAAGTGCCTCTCGATCAAGTTCTTGCCGAACTGTCACCAGTTTGCAACCGGAGGAGACGACAACCAGATCAGGATCTGGGACATCAGAAAGAACAAGTGTGTCCACATTGTGCCTGCTCACCTTCGACTAGTCAGCGGGATCGAGTTCGAGCCAGAAGAAGGCAAGTTCATGATGAGCACTTCGTACGACGGAAGGTGAAGAGTCTGGAACACTCGTGATTGGACTCCAGTCACTTCGTTATCAGGGTATGAGGCCAAGGTATCGTCAGTGTCGTTTGCTAAAGATGTGAGCTTTATCATCACAACATCATTTGACAGAACTTTTAAGTTGTGGGAACGCAAGAAGCCAGTGGAAGAGACTAAAGAGAGAGAATTAAACCAAACTAAAGAACCTGAAGATACTCAAATAGTGCCAACAGATAATTAAATGAGTGTTTGGATCTAAAATATCTATAGAGAAGTAAGATCTCACCTATTATCAATATTTTCAATATTCTGGCTAAATTTTGGGGTTTTGGGGTTTTGGGGTTTTGGGGTTTTGGGG